CTCCTCCTCCTCCTTCTAGCAGCTCACTGCTCGGAGGCGCAACTACAGCAGACAAGTCATTTCCCAATATAGCAGCGCCTATGTTAACATTACACTGGGCTCTGAATCAGCCTGCTGAGAGGTCGTTTCAGCTCATAGATTTATTAATAAACGCCATTCATTGCATCGCAGCAACCCCAAGTGTGAGCCATGCAGGCACAACAAACAGCCATAAAACCCATCTTCCCTCTGCAACACCAGTGAATGAGAAACTACAACAACAGCACAGCCAACCCAAACACATCTGATTGCTGCTTCTCAGTTATTCTAGCAGAAGCCATCCTCCTGCCTCTTCATCCTCTGTTTTGCCACAGCTGCTGTCTGCCTGTTGTCGCTATGTAGGGTAAAGGTCTCCGCGCAGCCACAAGCACGTCGACTCTTGTTTACGTCTTTAAGAGCTGCTCGACGTTGCCCCCCTTTTTTTTCCACGCGCAGCTGGTGGCACCGATTAAAGCTGCACGAATCAAAAAAAAAAAAAAAAAGTCCCCGAAAACCCCAACAGATGCGAAAAGCTCTTACCCGCTCTGTCTTGATTCTGCTTGGCCCGGCTGGAGCAGCCTCTCATCATGAGTGTCTGATGGAGCGCAGCAGTGTATGAGGCGGACGGTTCGTACGTGCGTCCAGCAGCAGCACTGATGCTCCGTCAACACACACCCACTGAGTGCGTGCGTGGGGGGGAACCTGGAGTCTGGAGGAAGGTCTTTTTGGACAGAAATGGATGTGATGAAGCAGCAGCAGCAGCCTACCTGCCCTCTGCACCCTCCTACACCCCACCCACTGCTATTTGACAGCTTCCCCCCAGCACAGGGCTGGACTTCAGGAGACTGTACACACATTGCTGTATGTCATTAAACTACACAGGCCTCTCTCGATTCATAGTTTCTATATACATTCACAAATATACAACATTTATATCTTGCAATCGCTGTCATTTAAAAAAAAAAAAAATTGCCATATGCTCATATCTTGCAAGATACTCTTTAAATGATGCAAAAAAATGGCACAAACCTGTCACATGTGTACACCAAATGCAGTAATCCAGAGCTTTGCAGGCATACAACAGGTAGACTTTAGAAGTTTTCCAGGAACAGTCTAACAGGCAGAACTTGTTTTTCTCTAAGTAGTCACCCCACTTTGGAATTTTCCACATTTAATCACTTCATCATTTCCAATCACATAGGCAACTTCCCACTTTGAATTCATTTCAAAAAAATGCTCAAATAATCTAATATTTCAATTTAAAAAATCTAAAAAGACTAGAGGGAAAAGTCCAAAAACTGAAAGTAGATTTGTGGCTCAGAACTCACTCATCAATCATGTGAGCAGCCCTCAGATATACATCTGAAGTCACTGTATGTAAAACTGTGTGTAAAGTGGTTCAAGCTATTTCCTGCTGCTGACACACTAATATTTTACTATTAATAAGCTAATGATGTTCTATATAATAGCATATCAGTCAAAAGGACCACACCAGTACTTTTACTCTAAAATGTTGAACACAGTTTGCTGCTTATGTAGCTTACTATTACATAAGTAGGATTTTTCAGGCAGGACTTTCACTTGTAAAGGATCATCTTTAAAATAGATTAGATACTTAGGATAAACAGAGCAGAGACTCTAACATCTAACTTAAAGCATATCTTGAAAAATTCACTCACACTCATTGTTTCAAAAATGCAATTTCACTGCACCAATGCGCACCATTTTTCTATTACAGTTTTTAAAAGCTGTTTTCTATGTTGGACAAAGACCACCTGTGTGCATTCAAAAAACATTACCAACAAATCTGAGCGGTTTCCTGAGCATTACTGAAGAAATCACAGGAATAATGCAAGAAAATCCACAAAATATGCCTCAGAGTCAGTTTTAGGCCCGACACTTTTTAAAACTTTACATGCTGCCACTTGGAAACATCATGACAAGATACAGCATCAGTGTCCGTATCTACGCTGATGACACACTGTTATACATTGCTGTGTTTCCTGATGACCAACAGACAGCTAATGCCCTTTTCAGCTATATTATATATAGAGAGTTATAGACAGTAGAGAATTTTCTGCTCAGTCGGGGCAAAATTGAAGTTTTGGTGATTGGTACTGAGAGAGAAACTTTGAGTGACTCTACAGTCACTGACATTTATTCATGTCCAGCAAAACCTCAGAGGCATCTTTGACTCAGATTTCAGTTTTAAGCCTCACATTACAACCACAACTAAGAATACATTTGATCATTTAAAGAACATTGCCAAAGTTCACCCTGTCACGATTCAGAGGCACTTCTGAACTTGTATTACCTGCAGGATTGACTATTATAATGCTCTCTGGTCTCGTGCAGAAGAATATATCTCAACTCAAGGTGTGTTGAAGACGACCAGGAGAGCAGATATTACACTACACAATTTTAAAGTTTCTGCACTGGCTACCCGCTTGCTTTAGAATTGATTTTAAAAATCTGTTCAATGGTTTAAAACACTCTTAATGGTCTTAGTCCTACTTATCTTATTTGTTGGATTAGTTTTTGTGAGTTGAACCTTCTAGAATCCTCTGGTCATTTAATTAAACCTAAAGTCAGAACAAAAACCCACAGCGAGTCCGTCTTCTGTTGTTATACTCCACATCTCTGGAACAGGATCTTGAAGATCTGAGGACAGCAGAGAATGTTCATTATTTTTCTTATTATTTTTGTTTTAAACACAACTTGAAGACCTGTCTTTTTACTCTTGGTTTTAATTGATTATCTCTTGGAATATTTAGGTAAACATGTGTCCTTTTTAAAAAAAAAATTTAATCTGTAAATTAACATGTTGCTTTTGTATTCAGAATTGTTGACTCTGTATTTTCCTTGTTGCATTTTTTTTCCACAATAGTGCCTCCTCAGATCCTCAGTCCATGTTTTTCTCAGTTCTTTATTTATGGCATAATCATTTATGTAAGGATTCATTTTGGCTTTATCTTCTGTTTGTTTTTAAAGTGTTATACAAATAAAGACAGACAGTGATAAAGACCCACTGACTCACTTAGAAGGTTTCCATGGTTACAGTTAATATTTTAGTAATTTTCCATTACTACCTGTGTCAAAATACCCAATATGACTGATTTGTTCAAAGCTGTAAAACAAAAAACATGAAATAGTAATAATGATGGGGGCAAAGCATGTGTAAGTTTATTACTGATTTTGAAACAATGCTGTGAAGTCAAGTAAACTTGGTTGGCCAGAGGAGACACAAACAGGCACCGAGCTGCCAGCACTGAGACCCTCTGGAGATAATATAAGCACCATGTGACACGCCTGGGAGGACTTGAGGCTATTTCAGTGGCAGCAATGGCACCCGTCCTCGCAGCCTGTGATAATAACGACACTAATTGTCAAGAAAGGCCTGTAACTGCACATCCGCGGATTCATGCAGCCTCACCTACAAACATGTTAAAGACAGAGGAAATAGAGACATCAGGGAGGTGTTGAGGTCTACTCAAGATAAAGACGATGAACGTACGGAAAGGGAAATGGGGACAACTGGAGGGGGAGAAACAGTGGAAGGTCATAATGCTCTCCTCTGACCTTTAATACATTCCTCCCTAAAGGCCACAGTGATCAACCCCACCCTTGTCACCCGCCTCACACCTCATTCTTCGGCCTTATGCGTAACATACTAGTCAGATTTGTGCTTTATCACTGAGCTTGACTCGAGATAAAACTTATGAAATTGTCCTGTGCAGCACAAAAGTAAATGTCAGCCTAATTCATCAGGATATTTCACATTCAGATGCAACCTTTATTTGCGCAATTTTTTAAAGAGATACGTCTTTAATTAGGGGATAAAGCCTATTGACAGTGGCCTTAATGAATCAATCAAAGGCATTGTTTCTGCTGCCCGCTGTGCAGGCTGGGACTTGCAATGAAGCTTCACAGTTTTATGAATCAAAGTTCCTCAACATATTCCGCCACTTCCAGTGAATAAAGCTGAATGAAACTGACTCACAACTGCTCGTCTTAAAGAAGTGTTGCATTCCGGTGTGCCTGTTGTGTTTTTGTCTGACTGTTAATGTCAGAGGATCTGTGACTTTTGTGGAATAATACTAACAGGAAGTGTACACGATGCTGTTATGTCAACATCCTATTAAGTGGGAACAGATGGATGGCATAATCATGGCTGGAAAGAGAATTGCTGACTGATAAAGAAAAAAAAAAAACACTCGTCACTGCGTCTCTGAGCTTAACATGTAATTTGCAACACAGTGTAAAATTCCACCCACAAACACTCCCAGACTTATTGTTTGCCTTATTCAAAGTCACGGCGCTCCATAGAACAGCTGAGAGGTCATGCTCTAATCGTGACCCATATTTACAGCAGGGAAGCCAAATGGTTAGTTTCCCCTAACCCGTCCCCTAAATACTGCAGCAGGACCATGTGATCAAAGTGGGGGAAAGGTTCTTACCATATAAACTAAACATAATAACGTCGACCTTTTCCAGTTGCAAGTCAGATGGCTGCGTCCCAAATGACTGCTGCTGCTATTTATAGCAGACTCACAAAGCTTGAAAGGCACGATTACAAGAACAATAATCCTGTTTTACGTTGAAAGTTCAGTTTATAAGAACATGGACAGTGAAACGTCTTCATGGATTAGATACATCCTACAAATCAGGTTTCCGATATGAATGGCAACACCGACACGCTTTATTGTGATGGAAAATTGCAGCCGCTGTTTACTGGTAGCATTTTTGCTCAACCCCTATAAACACAAGATGTTTCTGAGGGAAAGTGTCACAACTCATCCATGTAGCACAACCAACTGTTGCTCCACTGCTGTGGCCTGACGCCGACAGGAAGCTGCCTCTCGTTGCTCCATTAATAGGACACAATCTCGATCTGCAGCAGTGACGCCGAGTCAAACATTTCACTCGATAAGGAGCGTGAGGCCATTTTGTTGTCGCCTCAGTGAAAAATAATGGCTCGTAGGTCATTACAGAGGCTACGTTTTATTAACAAGACAGTGTTGAATTTTGCTTTGACCCTGAAAGGAAGGCAGTGACATAAAGACAATATTAAGACAACACAGTCAATAGCAAGTGTTCTAGTTTCACAGTCTGTCTGCAGTCGAGTTCTTTGTCTCTCTGTGTGTGGTCTGCACACTGGTGCATAGTTGCGAAGGAAAAGCGTTCAACAAATTAGCCATGTGAGCTATAAACATATGAAACTCCACATCAGTCAGTTAGAACCGAAGAAGCCTCTTGGATGAAGGTGAAACATCTTCAAGAACCTAAAGGAGAAGTCCAGCTGCTTCCTACTGAAGCTCCTGGGATGCAGCAAAACATTACCACTACAAATACTTCATGTCTGCACGCACACACACACACACACACACTCTTACAAACAAGCAAGCTCTAAAAATTACATAACATACATAAAATAATCAACAGACAGGCCCACAGTGAGCAGAGTTGTTGATTTCTACCACTGACAGGAAACAGGTGATATCATGTCTTGATATGTCCTATAATTGTCCATCTGCAACGCTGGTGTTCCAGTATCGTCCCTTTATTTCGGAGAACACTTCCTTAGTCTCTCAGGAGTCCAGAGCAGCTCTCTAAATAATTTCCTCCCACGTAAATCAACTTTTCCTTCATCCCCTGAGCTGCTTGTCTTTGCCACTCGTTGTTGGATGTTCCACTAAAGGTCTTCTTCGTCTCACTGACTCTGGCAGACCGTGGAGCCACTCTTGGCACCTGCAGCGGCCCTCTTGCGTCTCTTGTTGAGCAGAGGGTTGCTGGATGTGTCGAGGTCCTTGATCTTCACCTGGTCGTAGTCCACACGCATGGTGGCTAAAGCGCTGGTCATCTCCTCCTGTGGGAGACGAGGCAGAGGATGAGGTTTAGTGGAGTGTGTTAGTTCAGTCAGGTCCACTGTGGTTTGTAGTTTACTGCCATGTGCAGGAGGTTTATTATACAGGGACTCTACTCATTCTAAATCAAGCTTTTCAAATGTTTGCATGTTCTCCCGTGCAGCATGGGTTCTCTCCGGGTTCTCTGGCTTCCTCCCACATGTTGGGGTTAATCGGTGATTCTAAAATTTCTGTATGTGTGAATGTGAGTGTGCTTGGTTGTCTGTCTCTAAGTGTAGCCCTGTGATAGACTGGTGACCTGTCCAGGGTGTTCCCTGCCTTCATAAAGTCAGCTGGGATAGACTCCAGCCCCTCTGCGACCCTAGTGAGGATTAAGCGGTGTATAGATGATGGATGGATGCACAGTATACACTGTAAATGTTAAGATAGTCAGTTATTTTAAAACAGCATACTGAACTGAAAACAGGATAAACAGCTGGCCTGACTCTGCAAAACTTTACAACTTTCAACAGCTAACCCATCTAAAGGTCGTTAATTAACACATTATATCCGATTTCTGAACTGCACTTTGTATTTGATGTCTTTTCTATGGTACTGGTGCAGGCTGGGGGCAACAACATTTCATCTTTTGTGTAAGCAGGTGCACAAAGAAATGGCAAATAAAGAAACCCTGAATGACAGAAAGACAAAGTACACCAAGGTCAAGATGTGGTTTTACTCAGGATTAAATGCTTCAGTACTTCTTGGCAGGCAGCAGTTGCCAAGCAACCAATGGTGACATCAGGAAGTTACTGGTACTGGCCAAAACATTTTCCAGGAAAAAAAAAACCTGTTTATGTTTAGATTTAAGGATTTATGTGGGGTTTTGTAGAAATGCCAACAACAACAGAGATGAAATGAGCACTACATTCATTAGGGAGCTTTAGAGGCGCTAATAGAGTTTATTAGTTTTGGACGGAGTGAGACCGGCTGTTTCTGGGCTTTCTGTTAAACTGAGATAATCAACTTTTCCTTAAGCTGTCATCTCTTGGCACCAAAACGTAAATAAGCCTGTACTCAGTATTCAGTGATTCACTAAATTATTTGTGCTGGCAAATATAGGCAAAGATGGATGAAGAAAAACAGTCTGGGAACTGACGTCAAGAGACGCTGGAGCCAAAACAGGCCTGAGATCGAACTCTCAAACTCTTGGTCCTTTATTGTTCATGAGTAAAGGCCATTCGTCAGTCGTGATCCATACTGCCTATGGAGAAAGTTTGCACCCTTCTGTTTTTGTGCTTTTTGAGAAGTGGTTTGTTCTTTACTCAAGTGCAATCTGTGACTTTTTTGCGCAACACAGCAGCACCCATTGCAGAACTGAAAAGTGGTGCATTGTGTGCGTATCATTTTGGAGAATGGTCTTTTCATACCTTATCAATTCAAACTTGCTCATTCAGCTGTTGTGAAGGAATGTGTCATTCTACCCATCATTCATAGCCACTGACAAAATACGTGATTGCCCAACGTGGACATTTTGTGCCGTATTGGGGAATTAACTCAATCGTGACTCAATGTGAGGACACAGCATTTTCCTTTCTTTGTATTAATCAGAGGGAAAGAGCTATGACGAACCAGACGGGGCAGCTGAGCTCCTTTGTGCTCAGGTGAGTGTGTTAAATGTTAAGCCAAGTACAGACTGTGACCAATTCTTCCCCCTGGTGGCAGTCAGGGGACCATCATTACTTCATTCCTGTAAGGATGGTTATATTATGATGAAAAAGTGCCACTCAATAAATTTAAATATAAAATCTGTTAACAGTGCATTGAGATGTTATAGGTTCCATATTGTGGCTCTTTTGAGCAAATTATTGAAAATTCGACGTCCCCAGAATGTGTCTTTGAATGTTTCAGCTTAAAACACTGCAGAGATGGTTCATTTTACCATTACTGTATAACTCCTGGTTTTAGTCCCGTTCTAAACGGACTGCTTTAGTGTCTGCAGCTTTAAATGCAGCTGAGTTGCTGCCGTCCACGCCCCTTCAGGAAGAAGACTATCTCTGCAGGTTTGATTGCCAGCATTCAGCCGAACAGTTGACCACAGTTGCTGACTTGGATGTGAAAGAGTGTGTAAGACTTTTATCGCTTCTAAGTTTCTCTCAGAGAGATCACTTTACATGGAAATATCGCCAAGTTCTGAACTCGTGTGGTTGGTGAGTTTGTCAGACAGTAGTGTTCTTCTAAGTATTTTTACAGTGCAGGACTACAGCTTAGAAATGTGGCTGCCGGTTAACATGCAGTCCTAATGGGCTGCATTTCAGTCACTAGTTCATATTTACTCAAGAGAAATAGTCAAATGTAAATGACAGCAGCTTTACTGGGAATTCAGCTCTTTTAAAATCCAGTGCATGAGAGTACAGAGAGCAGGAGAGAAGAAAACAGATGTTAAGTAACCAACCCAGTCTTTGTATATTGGTGTCAGATTGGACTTTCCATCCTCTCTGAATGTCTGACAGCCGTACAGTTTCCACAGAGCTCTGACCTGTGGGCACTTGATCAACCTTCATGTTAGCTGGATCAGTCCTACAACGCAGTAAAACCAAGGATCGTCGATTGTTGTGGTGACCAAAAGTATAAATAATCCACTGGATCTTCAGTTTATCATATGCTCAGAGTGCACGTAGACTCTTATGTTCTGTCTTGCAGCCAACAGCAAAACATTTGGTGCTTCTGGCTGAGATGTTTTAAAGTCAGCAGAAGCACATGTAGAAAGTAAACAAAGATGTTGGACTGAGAGGCAGCTGCTTTTTCAGACTGACCCACCTGGAGGCAGCAGGCAGTGAGGAGGCAGGATTACACAAAGTTTATGACTACTGGCTCCTCGGAACATAACAGCACAGTTAAATTGTCACTGGCTCACGAAGCTGGAAGGTTTTGTGAGAAGGTTTAAGGAATGGCAGCTTTACTTTAAAACTTTCTTGTTTATAACAACCACAAAACACAGTCAAAATGGATTTTCTTCATATCAGATCTGTAAAGTTGTTGCATACACATGCCCTTTATGACTCTGGAGGAGTTTTTTTTAAAGCTGTGGTTGAAGGTGACCTGGATGACATTATGTCAGTGTCATCAGGGGTATCTCAGCTTGACTTGAACGACTCAAAATTTTAGGACACAACATTACAAACTCGGAAGATCTAAAATTTGGGAAATCTCACGACTCCTTCCCACTGAGGACAAACCTACAGCTTTGACAGGCTGTCAGTAAGAGGATGTAATGCCACCATATGACCAGAGGGTGTCAGTGTTGTCGTGCTTCTGACCTTTACATCCTCCCACATCTCTCTGTCTTCAGTCAGGACTCGGGTGGTGTGGAGAGGAGTGGAGGGAACCACCATGGACTGCTGCAGAGTGCAAAGACACACACACATGCAAATGAAGACGTGGGCAAACACATAAACAGGAAACAGGAAACGGAGCGCTAAGTATGTAAATACTTTCTGTGCTTGACTTACATTGATCCAGGGATGGTTCATAAACTGAGTGATGGTCATTCTCTCGTTGGGGTCTGTCTTCAGTAGCTGATGGATCAAATCTTTTGCTGGAAGAGCAAAGGCAATGCAAAGATATTCACATTAGTTGCAGCAAGACACACAGACATGCAAATATTGTATCTTGTAAAGCGTTTCCTGGTCTCAGGCACAGACTGGCCTACTTACACAGCAAATGGGACTATTTGTGAGAGAGAGAGAGTGAGTGGAAAAAATAGATTTATGACGGTGTGTGCACAGAGTCACCCACTGTCATTGTTGGTTAAGACGAGGACACCAGCTGGCTGTTTTCTCTGAGATATCTGTAAGGAGGATTACTTGTTGTTGTCTTACAAGTGTAAAACTAGAAAAGCAGAAAATTGATTGTGAATGAGTGTGGGAGATGAACCTGACATTCAGGGGGATTAAAGCAGAGTTTTTCCTGCATGGAGTAACTTTTAAAAGAGGTTTCAGCCAATCTTCTCAGGAATATTATACGCTTTAGTCTGTCAAATGGTCAGAAATAACTGAAAGATGCATAGAGTCGTCCTCTAATGTATTCATACCCTTCCATTAAAGAAAAGGCAAAATTCACAGTAGGCACTCAAATAACTAGAAATTGGACAAAGTAATAATAAATAAAAATTTGCTAAATTATAATTTAGTGAAATAACACATCGCTTTTGAATTGTGGTTGAAAAGAATAATTACAAAAAAAAAAAAAAAAAAACTGTCCCGGACAAATTAGAGAAATTAGAGCACTTTGCTGATGACAAAATACCTGTCAACAGGTGCAGAAGTCTGATTGAGAGTTACAGAAAACACTTGATTGCAGTGATTGGCTCAAAGGATTGTTCAACAAAATATGAGTATACGGGTCCCATCATGCTTTTCTTATATATTTTTTTAAATATTTCTATTGAACCATAATTCAAAAGCAGTATTATGTTTTTTTTATTAAATTTCAATTTATTATTACTTTTGCAAATTTCAACTTATTTCAGTGACGGTTGTTTTATTCCTTCTTTAATGGGAGGGTATGAATACATTTGAGGACGACTGTAGATGTTTGTCAAAATAAAGTAACACAGAGTCATTGCCTACTGTATGCGGACTAACGATGTTTACTTTCATGTATAGTCACCCGTTCCAAGGCAGGTAAAAACCCTGTATTAAAGTAGCGCTAGACATACAACTAGCCTAAATTATAGACCGCAATTTACATAAAGCATAAAGGAATAATATTATCTGTGTACCGAAACTCAGCTAAGGTAAGCGCACACAGTTTCAAGAGTAGGCAGCAGCAAGATGTAAATGAAGCCGCATGACGTGATGTTTTCTACCAGCTGCTCTCGATTCCATGGTGAGGTTTTCTGTATGAAAATATCTCATCATGACTTAGTCATCCAGCAAACCTGCAGAGTCAGAGTCAGGGCAGCACCACAGTTTCACGGTTTCCTGCTTTTGACAGCGATGCTGCAAAGTTTACAATGGGGCCGCACTTTCCACACTGAAGCAGATAAACATCCTCAAATGTATTTATACCCTTCCATTAAAGAAAAGGCAAAATTCACACTAGTCATTCAACTAATTAGAAACTGAAATAAAGTAATAATAAATAAAAATTTTCTTAATTATAATTTAGTGAAATAAGACATTGCTTTTAAATTGTGGTTGAAAAGAATGATTACAAAAAAGAAAAAGAAAGGGGGCCAAAATCTAAATAGCTGTCAACAGGTGCAGAAGTCTGATTGAGAGTTACAGAAAACACTTGACTACAGTGATTGGCTCAAAGGGTTGTTCAACAAAATATTAGTTTACGGATCCCATCATGCTTGTTTGCTTGTTTTTTGTTGTTGTTGTTGTTTTTGTATATTTCTATTGAACCACAATTCAAAAGCAATGTCATGATTTTTTTTTATTTTTTTTATTTATCATTACTTCTGTAAAGTTCAACTTATTTCAGTGACTGCTGATTTTTTCCTTCTTTAATGGGAGGGTATGAATAAATTTGAGGACAACTGTAAATACAACAGCGCTGCTCACATGTCACACAAGTGTTTTCATATTATTTTGTTAAAAAAAAAAAAAAGAGGTCACATTTCTGACCACAAAGATAAACACCAACTGAAAAATTGTCTTTCTTTCTCAGCTGAAAAACAATAAAACTGAGCATTTGCAGCTTAGATTTTCAGCTTGTTCTCATCAGGAAAAGGTTTCAGTTTTTTAATTTAACATACTGTGTGTTGAATACATCCCAACAGAAAATACAAATGTTGTAGCTGATCTGTCGTTCTGTAAATGTTATTAGACGTCTGCATGGTTCTGATTTATAGACACAGAATATCTGACTTTTCAAAACAGATGTGTTATTGTCTGGCAGTGAATTTGTTCACTCCGGAGAATCCTTTTTAAAGTATATAATGTGTGAGGATCAGTGTGGTCGGGGCCTGTGTGGGCTTTTATAGGGTGATTCTCACCTTCCTGCGACACCTCAGACCACTCCGGCTTCGGGAATTCATACTGGCCCATTCTTATTCTCCTCTTCATCCCTGGAGAAATGGCCTGGCCTGTGTTGGAGTAAAACGGAGGGAAACCACACAACCTGCAGAGACAAAGGTGGAGATACAGTCAGAACAATTTTAACATCTTAGTCACCTCAATAGTACACTGTACTATTTCAACATAGTTATATTTTACTTGAGTATTTCCATTTTTATGTTACTTACTCACTCCTCTGTACTACATTTGAGAGGGAAATATTGTACTTCCTGCTCCACTGCATAGGGCTGATTTTACATGATGGATAATATTACAAGCTTTTACAATATAACACAATGATAACAAAAATTAAACTAGTGGTTTCCAGCCTTTTTGGCTTCTTCCTCCTCACGTGTTTTCGTTTCAATTAGTATTCAGATGTACTGATATTTTGAAAACAAAAACAAAGATTATTGAAAACCTCAAAACAGATTCGGGTGTCTTTAAGTAAAGACTGAAGACCCAGCTCTTCACTGAACACCTTTGCACTTGACAGCCCGAAAAAAAAAAAAATCCTATTACCTCCCACACAGCCTGCTATTACCATCAACGCCCAGTCACACTTAAATTTGTTCTACAGCACTTATCTAGATTGTGTTCTCTTGACAGGATCCTTGCTTGTGTTGTATCTGCTCTCAGATGTACGTCACTTTGGATGAAAAGCGTCTGCTAAGTGAAATTGTAGAATTGTAGGGTGTCGAAACTTTGTCATCTTTCCTCTTCCAATAATCATCTGACGACCGCATAGATTTATCTGCTGTCGGTGTGTATATAACTGTGTATAAAATAGTTCAAACATCTGGCAGCTATAATATGTATGTCAGAGGGACCAAAACTGCACTTTTACTTTAATGCTTTAAGTGAGATTTACGGCTAATGCTCATGTACTTTTACTTCAGTAGGATTTTACATGCAGGACCTTGCAGTATTTTTGCATTTGTACTTTTAATTATGTGAAGGATCTAAACACATTTTGCCCCCCTGGTATCTACATACAGAATGATTATTAAAAAAAAACACTTGTGGTGACATGTTGCCCTCCCCCCAACCATCACCCAGTACTCACAGGATGTACATGATGACGCCCAGAGACCACATGTCACACGACTTGTCATATTTCTCCGGACCCAAAACCTCAGGAGCTTATCAACAACACACACACAGAAACGCATACATACAGACAGTATACATTAGAGGTATAGAGTACAGGCAATACATTGGCTCAACAGCTGTATTGTTCTTCATTTTCAAACATCTGTTAAACCTCTGTAAACTTGAGAATTTCAAAAGGTCAGGACACCTAATAAAGATCTGAGGGAAATGGCATAAAGCAGCTTACCCACGTAATACGGTGTATAACAGGGCGTCTGCAGGGGGTTGTGTAGTGTGGTCTCCTTGGCGAAACCGAAGTCCGTCAGTTTCAGGACCCCGTTTCTCTCTTTAATGGTGTACAGCAGGTTCTCTGGCTGTAGCAAGACACAGAAGTAGAAAAGATGAGCATCACAACTTCATCGACCGATCGTACGCTTCGGGATTTGATCTCGATCTGCGGCCACCTTGATGTCTCTGTGCGCGATGTTGATGTTGTGGAGGTACTCGATGGCCGTGCCGATGTCCCTCATGATCTCAGATGCCTCTGGGAGGAAAAACAGAAACAAACTCTCTCAAACCGGAAACGATATTATACAACGACAGGCACCAAACGAAACAGAGATTATGTTGAACAAAAGGAGAAGAGCGTCAACTCAGGCAAAGAATCAGGCCTCCTCTTCCTTATGCTCTTTACATTTACAGTTAAATGTTCATGTATGAGTTCATAAAGTTGTTGCCGAGTCTTTCATCAAACCAGACTGCATAAGTGTTTGATGTCAATATCTTCTTTCTTTACTTTTATGAATGGACCTCTGGCTGAAAAGCACATCTGCATATTCTGTCCTTTTCTGTGTCTTACTTCCGTCCATCCATTGAGTCCTCACCTTTTTCAGTAAAGGCCTGATCTCCTCTGGCCTGGATTCTGCTGAACAGCTCTCCTCCCTCCATACTAGACAGACAGAGACAGAGAACGTTAGACATAGAGTATTAACTCTGCATTCAGTCACAGTTAATATGTTGATCAACTTATTGCAGCACATTTAGAACGACAGATGTTGAGGTTAAACACTTTCCAACAGAGAAATGTCTGTCATCGTAAATTTACGTGACAAGTTCAAACATTAAACTCTCATGTTAATTTAAATATTCTCATTAAGACCCCAGAATATCATATAAAATCCAAATGTACCCGACTAATGTTAAGATCCTACAAAATTATTGTTATATTATCATATAGAAATATAACCGTTAAACATGTTTCTGGTGTTATTTAGGCTACATGGATGACTCATTTTTAAATTGCACATTTGAAGCGTGCGTTTGCTTTTACTCTGGGGCAGTTTTTGTATCGAGTGAAGAGATGACATGTTTGATATTTATTTTATTATTTATAAGTCAATTTCAAAACTGGGGAAATGTCAAGTGTTTGACGGATTTTAAGCAGCCAACTTATGAGAAAATGTCAAAGTTATTGAGAATGCTCTGCCAAAATAAACGTTGTCAAAATACAAATGTTAAGATTTCATGTAAATTTCCCAACAGTCCCTTTAGTAATGCAGCATTTTTCACACACACCTGCATCTGTAAGCCCAAAGTTAGTGCAAAGTAGATTAGACCATTTTCTAATCATTTATATGTCAACAGTTTACACGTCTATATTAATTTTCAAGTTATTTTTTTTTGGCCTTTTTGACTTTATTGTTTAGGACAGTGAAGAGAGACAGAAGAATGAGGGAAGGACCTGCAGCAAAGGGCTACGAGCGAGATTCGAACCCATGACCGCTGCATTGGGGTCTAGAGCCCCTGTACATGGGTCACCAGCTCAACCAGTTGAGCTTTAGCGGCGGCCTGTCTATTTTAGTTCATTTGTTAATGTCTACTAAATGAATTAATGATGCTTTATGTCAAATCCTGGTCTTCGAGGGCCGCAATCCTACAAGTTTTAGATGTTTCCTTCTTCCAACACACGTGATTCAAATGATCAGGATCGTTATCAGGCTTCTGCAGAGCTTGATGATGAGCTGATCATTTGAATCAGGTGTGTTGGAAGAAGGAAACATCTACAACATGCAGGATTGCGGCCCTCGAGGACCAGAGTTTGACACCCCTGCTTTATGCATTACATTGAAGCCATTCATAAGAACAGCTTTTGGGTTGCCAGGTTGTGGCTGGTATTGATCTTTTCCTTGTACCTTTTTAACCCTTGAATTCATCTTGAACACCCTGTTAGTTGCCAGTTCAACCTCCAACCTTTTAGAAAAGGTTGCAGAGCATCTGATCAACAAGCAGCTTATTAATACAATATTAAAAACAGCTGCAGACTTGATGGATTACTAAGAAATCATTTATAGTCTTGGACTTATTTCAAATAGAGAAAAGAGGGAAAACCAACCAGAGAGTTTTCTTGAAAACTTGCTGTTATTTATTTCTAAACACCTGTTGTATTAGTTACAGCTTTTAACTCCTTTATAAAGTGCGATTTTAGAAAGTGTTCTGGAAAATTTTTTCTGCAGAGTGAACCGTATCTAACAACAAAACATCAACACGGTGAGTAAGTGACTCACATTTCAGTGGAAGTTTGTTCAATAGTTTTACAGCATGAACACACCTTAAGCACAGATGAAGCTCTGAGGTTCCTACTTCAGTTTAGTTTCATTTATCATTTCTGTAGGAGAAACGGTAAGTGAAACTGAAATCGTAACAACACTGACTTGAAGGCCCCTTTTACATGAAATGAGAAGTATTTCACAAACTAACAGCATTATGCCTCCTATTTGTCTCCTCTGTACTCTTATTCGTTTATGGTTTGATTACACAATAATCAGTCTGACAGAAATGCAGATGTTCAAAAAAACAGATACACATCTCCTGACACTTGCTTACGCTTCATTCTTAAGAACTACGATTTAATTCTTCAAGCGTTCAGAGACTCTCGCCAACAAAACTTCTAGCGTTGAATCAGATCTTCGTGCTTCCGACTCCCCCACTTTCATAACCACGCATCAAATAGTAATCACTGATAGTGAAATTCTCCCTTCTGTTTCTCAGGAAAGATGCGTTTTGGCTCATTGCTGAGTGGGTGTGCTTCTAAGTGCATTAAGTAAGAGCGTACTTTTTGTGGTGCACATATGATCAGATAACTGGCTACCTGCGGTGGACTAAACTGTCCTCCTGTGATCCTCAGTCATACCGGAAGCAGCAGTGAATCTCTTGTTGTGTGTGCGTACTGAGCATGTGCACACGGACACACAAGGTCACTGCGTACAGTAGAACGCAAACATTTAATGTGTCAACAAATGTGATGGTGAGACTCATTCGGTCACTGTTTAAAATGCCCACAAACGGAGGACAGTGTCGTTTCTCTTTTGTTGCTCTCTGTAGTTTCTCCTTTTTTTTTGTTGCTTCCCCCTTTGAATTATAATGTGTTTTTCCATTTATAAACAGGGCAATAAAAAGTCCAGAGTACATATATGTGTGTCAAAGCACACTTGTTTATCACAGTCATTGGAGATGTTACTCTGGACAGTATTTCGTGACACCTGAAGCCCAGACAAGAATTCAGAGTTTATCTCACAATCAGTGCCGACGTCTTCATTTTGTCTCCTCTGAGTGTCTTTGACTGACCTTTAGCTTGAATAAACGTTCTGCTCTCAGTGGCACAAAGCTTATGTTGCGTCACACGAGAGCCTCTGTTTTTTCATGTGACAACACATGAGCATGTTAGATATACTAAAAAGAAATTATATTGTTAGGAGTGTGGTGTTAATATCAACATAAGTGAGAACAGTCTCGTAGGAAATCCCTTCCAAGTCAGTGGTTGAGGCGTTGGGCTACTGATCCAAAGGTTTGATCAGATGGATGGGTCTGAACCTGTGCTCTGACCATAGTTTAATGGTAGCAACTGGACTTGCTTGAGTTTCTTGAAGACGTTTCACCTTGAAGACAAAGTACTAACGACTTGCATAACGAGGGGGAGGAGCAACAAACCCTCAACTGAAACCGAAACTCAGGTGTTAATGGCTCCTTAAGGATATAATTATCTGGAACTCCCAACTACTCAGAACTGATGAAGCCTCTTGGATGGGAGGTGAAACGTCTTCAAGGAACTCAAGCAGGTCCAGTTGCTACAATTAAACTACGAGAATGGTCAAAGCACAGGTTCAGACAAAACACAGGACACCTGTAGTTTCCAGTCATATGCATTCTGATGCAAATGCTTATTTGCATTATGGCTCCACGTGGTAAAGACGTGATAAAGGAACTGGAAAATCAGACTGTGAGACTTCACGTAGAGGAAGAAAAAAAAAACAGGAAGATTGGTGACCAACCAGTGCAAACTGAGTTGTAGGAGTAATCAGGAGGCACAGAATGAGCCACAGTACCACATACTAATTGCACAATCTAGCTCTGAAAACTGACAGGCAAGTGCTTTAGATTTGGCATTGGGTTTATCAGTAAAAATCAGAGTCTCTGTCACAGCTCAGATAGTGTGAAGGACATTGCATAACAGCAGCCTCTATGGGAAACGCACAAGAAGAAGAACTTTACTTGCTCTTTGGCGCAAAACTGCAAAATAAAACCTAAAGACACCTGTTGAATGTTGGTAGAGCATTGTTTGATCAGATGAGATCAAGAAAAAGTTGTTTGGCTCTGATGGGCTCCAGCATGTTTGGCATTAACCTGCTGCGATATTATGGGGCCGTTAATTCCTGTGGATATTAAAATACTGACTGACAAGGTGACTCCCAGTCTGCAGAAGCTTGGCAGAAGATGAATATTCCAGCATGATAACGATCCAAAGCACACCAACAAAATCATACCAGAGTTTCTAAAGTACAAAAAAAGTGAAAGCTACGATCTGGTCAAGTTTTTTAAATTCAGTAGAACACCTCTGAGTTTCTATGGTGGGGCCTGTGTTATTTTGAATTATCTGACATTTAATTTATACCGCACATGTTGTCATATTGCACATACTTTTTTGCATACTGTAATACAAGCTACATTTTGCTGACAACATATTCTTTGCCCTAAGATCCACACATGATATCAAACTTTCTCATTTTTATCATTTTACAAAAGAAAACCCATCCTGATCACTATCTTGATTCTGCTGAATGTTTCTGAAAGAAGCCCTGCAATCCAGAATTCTAAAGTCAGATTTAAAAACGTTTTCTCTCATTTTTTTTGCCACAGAAAATAATGTTCTGCGACTGTAAAAGAAAAAAATTAGCAACCGTTTTCTGTTTCAGTTTGTGTTTTACTTTATAGCTATTTGTGCAGGTAAAGCTTGATATGTGTTGACATCTTGTCAGAGAAACACGGGCATGTTCTAAATCTTCATTCATATATCTAAGTAGGCTGCATGATGTGAATCTTTCTTTATTTGTCACAAAGCAAATGTGTTTATTCCCGGTTGAAACCTGTGAGTGGAAGTCTGTGACATTTGAACTCCCTATTTTCAGATCTGCAAAGTATGCTGGATTTATCTGCTCACATTTGTTGAAAATAAGTTTGTTCCAGCAATTAGTTAGACAAGTCCACATCATCGTTTGAAAATCTTTGCTCCCACTCAGAGCAATGACTTCTGGGAATGTGTAGTCACTGTTTGTGCCTGACATTAAAATAGCATGATTCATCGTCGTGTCCCATGGAAAACATTCATCTACCTAATGTCAACTTTTCTAAAAAAAGAAGAAGAGAGCTTTGTTTTAGGCTTTAGAACAATACATAAATATATATTTTATAGTTTTTAAAAGAATGTATTGGACACAAGATGATTTAATCTCTCAGTTTAGTTGAAAACTTACTGCTGCATAGAGATATAATAAGGAAACAAGTCGTTGCCAGTTAAGTATGAAATGTGAATCGTACCACTCCATGATGATGAGCAGACACTTCTTCCCATGATGCATGTTCTCGTACAGGCTCAGGATGCGAACGATGTACGGCCCTCCGGACACTCGCCAGTGGAGCTCCACCTCTCGTCTCGCTTTGGGACTGTCGTAGAGAATCTGAGAGACACAAAGCAATGAAAACTTTATTTGTGATTCACATTGGCTCAATATTATCATTAAATCACTTCGGTGGTGTGTGTTTGTGTATAGAGTTCAACAAATATCTGCTGCCCAAATTAGGATTCAGAGCACACTGTAGCTTTCAATTAGATATTAAAGTTTAACATATCTGGAAAATTAGGTCTTTAATCCAACAAACAGAAAGATATGACCTCAATCTAATTATTTCATATGCCGTTCTGCAGTTACTTTACATATTATACTGACACATACTGATTAAAGCCAAAGCTAGTCTATAAGCAACTATTTGAGAATGAGTTTTGAAGCAAGAACGCCACCCATCCCCTGTTTCCAGCTGTTCCATTGTACTGCTATTTCATATTATAGTAAATTCTATATCATTGGATGTTTGGTTCATCAGACAAAAGGAGAGACATAAAGTTATCCATTATAATACTGTAGCGGATGTTGTTTTGTGTCACATAACCAAGCTGATAACTGGTAGATT